CACACTGGCCCCATAGGGAGCTCCACCGAAGGCCCCAGCGGCTGCGTTCGCATGGCGGCGCCGCCCCCAATTTGGCACACCCCTCACACTGTTCGTGGCCCCGTAGGGAGCTCCACCGAAGGCCCAGTGGTTGCGTTCACATGGCGGCGCCGCACCCAATTTAGCACACCCCTCACACGTTTCGTGGCCCCATCAGGAGCTGCACCGAAGGCCCCAGTGGCTGCGTTGGCATGGCGGCGCCGCGCCCAATTTGGCACACCCCTCTCACGTTTCGTGGACACATAAGGAGCTCCACCGAAGGCCCCAGTGGCTGCGTTGGCATGGCGGCGCCGCACCCATTTCGGCGCACTCCTCACACGTTTCGTGGCCCCATAGGGAGCTCCACCGAAGGCTCCAATGCTACCGCCCTCATGCGTCCCGTACGCCCAGGACAGCGTTTCGTGGCACGCCTTTCGTGGCCCCATAAGGAGCCCCACCGAAAGCGGCACCCACAAAGCGTTATTCACAATTGCATATGGTTGGGTCCTTCGCCGGGGTAATTGTTTCTGGACACCCCGCGCGGGAACCAGAACACACTCTACATCATCACCCACTCACTCACTCACTCACTCACTCACTCATTCATTCCTGCTCACTCCTTCACTCATCATCATCACAATCACCATCGTCATCACTCACACACTCACTCGCACTCACACTCACTCACACACAGACCATCTTGATCGCCTTTGCCATCACTCGATCACACACTCACCCACCCACTCACTCATCATCTGCATCCTCCTCATCATCATCACTCATTCAGTCATTCACTCACTCACTCACCCACTCGTCCGCTAGCTTGAATACGGGGGCAGTCAGGCGGGAGGCTCGTCTGTGAGTGAACTGTGAGGAAGGCTCAGGCGGTAGCCCTTCCCCCATGGGGCCCACACCTGATGTTTTTAATCCGAGCGGGTCATCCTCGAACATGTAACTGTCGTCACTTTTGGGCTCTTGAGGCCTGAATATGGGGGAAATATCAGGCGGGAACCTCGTGTGTGAGTGAAGTGTGAGGGAGGCTCAGGCGGTAGCCCTTTCCCTATGGGGCCCGCACCTGATGTTTTTAATCCGCGGGTCATCCTCGAACTTGTGATTGTCGTCACCATTGGGCTCCTGAGACCTGAATATGCGGGATGTATCAGGCGGGAACCTCGTCTGTGAGTGAACTGCGAGGAAGGCTCCGGCGGGAGCTCTTTCCTTGTAGAGCCCGCACTTTATGTTTTGATTCCGAGCGGGTCACCCTCGAACCTGTAATTGTCGTCACTTTTGGGCTCCTGATGCCTGAATATGAGGGGTTGTGTGAGTGAAGTGTAAGGAAGGCTCAGGCGGGAGCCCTCTCCCTATGGGGCCCGCACTTGATGTTTTTAATCCGAGCGGGTCATCCTCGAACCTGTAACTGTCGTCGCTTCTGGGCTCCTGAGGCCTGAATATGGGGGAAGTATTAGGCGGGAGGCTCGTCTGTGAGTGAACTGTGAGGGAGGTTCAGGCGGTAGCCTTTTTCTTATGGGGCCCGCACTTGATGTTTTTTACCCGAGCGGGTCGCGCTCGAACTTGTGATTGTCGTCACGCTGGGGCTCCCGAGGCGTAAAGGATTTTCATGTGGGGTCTTTCCGTCGGAGTAATTTATTTGTCGTCCAAAATCCGCCTGTAGGAGGACATGCCCGACCTATCGTTAATTTCGAAGAAGAAGCAAACGGCGCCGCCCCTGGCCCGCTCCTGTCGCCAGGGGGGGAGGCCCAGCGCAGATCCAAAAAGTCCGCGCGGCCCGTCGAAAGTGCAGGTTTGTGCCGTTGTTCGTCCCTCTGTTATTGCCTCCCCCCCTCGGTTCACGAGCACCCGAAAGAAGAGGTTTTTTCCCGCCTTCTCCAACTGTGGAAAAAAAAGGCAAAAACGGAAGGCGCACGCTTCTTCACCCCCCCCGTTGATTGCCCCCCCTCGCCCCCCTCGCCCCCTCCCCAACACCCCGTTGACCAGCATCCCATACCAGCTCGTCCTCGTCCTCGTCCTCGTCCTCCGCCGAGTCGCCGTCGTACGGCGGGCGGGAGAGGGCCCCATACCAGGGGCCTGGAAAATAAATGCCTTGGTAGACGAGGGAGGATGGACAAAGCGAGGCCCGCAGTGGTGGGGGAGGGGCGGGTGGAGGGAGGGGAGGGGCAAGAGGAGCCAGGGGGGGGAGGGGCGGAAAGAGGGGGGGGGCAGGGGGGGGGCAGGAGCGAGGAGCCAGGGGGGGAGGGGCGGAAAAAAGGGGGGGGGCAGGGGAGGGGCAGGAGGGCGGAGCGGGGGGGGGGACGGACGAAGGAGGAGCCGAGGGGACGAGTGCGCCCGCGAACCCCCGCACCCGCAAGGGCCAGACACCCACGAGCGTCTCTTCGCCGCCACAGCAACCTCGAACGCCCGCCGAGGGGAGGAGCAGGGAGGGGCCCGAGGGGAAGGACGGGCGAAGGAGGAACTGAAGGGGCGAAAACACCCGCGAGCCCACGCACCCACCAGGGCCCGACACCCGCGAGCGTCTTCGTCGCCACAGCAACCTCGAACGCCCGCCGGGGCAGGGGAGGGGAGCAGGGAGGGGCCCGAGGGGACGGACGGGCGAAGGAGGAACTGTATAGGGGCCCGGGGGCAGGGGCCGGTGGGCGAAACTAAGCATCAGCCTGTATAACCAATCCCACCACGTTCCGCTGCGGCGCCGCCGGGGGTGTGGTGAGGCCCCCTCATAATGCGACGCCGGTGGGGTGGGCGCTCAGGCCACCACCGCCCCCGCCCCCGAAGGGGGGGGGGTCGGCGCTGCCGGCGGCCGCTGGGGCGGCCTTGGCGTGGACCGCGGCCACCGCGTCAGCAGCGGCTTTGGCCCGCGCCACTGCGGTCGGGGCTGCCGCCGGCGCTGGGGCCACAGAGGACGCCGGGGCGCTGGCGGCGGGCTCGGCCGCGGGCGCGGCGGGCGCTTTGCCCTGGGCCTTGCCCTTACCCTTCCCCTTGGCACCCTTCTTTCCTTTGCCCTTGCCGCCGTTTTTGCCGCCGCGCCCCTTGCTGCTCTTCCCGCCCCTGCCCTTGGGGCCGCCACCGCTGGCCTCCTGGCGCGCGCGCTTGCGCTCCCGCTCCTCCGGCGTCGCCTCGGCGTACGCCAGCCTGCGCTTCGGGGCAGGGGCCCCTTCCGCCCTCGGCGGCGCAGGCCTCCCGCGAACGGGAAGGCCCGCTGCCGTGCGAAGCGGCCCGTCCAAAAAGGACAGCGCCGCCTGCACCGACAGGGACTCCTCGCCGAACCGGAGGGTCAACCGAAAGGTGCCCTCGACTCGGCTCCTGCCGCCGGCCGTGTTCCTCGACTGGTCGAAGACGTGCGCCAGCACGTCCGCGCCGGCCAGGCCGCTGACTATCTGGGAGAGAGCCCGCCCCGTGTCGCCCAGCGCCTGGAACTCCTGGGAGTCTTCCTGCGGCAGCGGCCACGGCACCTGGAGGGCCTCACAGAGGTCCTCGCCCACCGCCTTCGGCACTGCCAGGCGGAGTTCCCTCCACAACTGGCTCGGCGCATGTTCTGCCCACGCGCTTTCCACCTCGTCGAACCCCTCAAGGACGACGTGGCAGGTCTTGCGCACCTCGCCCAGGTCCCTCCTTACGCGTTGCAGCCCACCCTCCACCGACGTGACTCTCGCCTCGAGCGCCGCGAACCTCTCGTCCACCGCGGCCCTGCGTGCCGCCATTGCTCCCGGGCAGCGGGAACGGACGCGGACCGACACAAGAGCCTTCCTGACGGGCTCGCGGCGGGCGAATGCGACGAGAAGAGGAGAGTGCCGTGATCCCTGCGTACACACAACAACGTGCAATGGATGCGTGGCGGGATACTCACGTTGACAGAGACAGAAGGGGGTGGGAGATGGTAGTAATGGTCCAACCCCCAACGACGACAGGAGGAAAAGAGGGGGGGGCAGAAAAGAGGCAAGACAGGTAAGAACACGAGGAAAAAGCAGGCGGAAGAGGGGGAGGGGGGGAGGGAGGGGAGAAGAAAACGACACCGAACGAGAAAAAAGACTGGGCACGGCTTCGCACGATTGCAAAAAACCCAACACAGAGCCCCTCATGGGGGCGGCCCTCCTGCTGCCGAGGACCTGGGGGAGGGCGGTGTCGAAGGCCAGGAGACCAACGACGGCACAATGTGGAACCCGAAGGAATCTGTGCCTTCCCCCGGTGCAGGGTAAACCTACACCGGCACGAGGGGCAGCGCGAAAGCTGACCCCTGGGCTGCAGCAGACGCGAAGAGAAACGCCACGAGCCGTGCCCGACAAGAGAAAAAAACCGAAGAACAACGACGGACAGACCATTACTGCCAACGGAAGGAACAGGGGGCGGGGGCGGAGAGCGAATGGGGGGGGTGGAAGGGCGAATACCCCAACGATAATCAATGCAACTACGCTCCTGCTTTCGTCAGTCTCCCTACCCGTGCCCCCGCTTCGGGGCAGCTGCCTTTCCAGACTTCGCTTTGGCCCCTCTGCTCGGCCCCGAGCTCTTCGCCCGCCCCCCTGCGCCTAGTTTGGCGGAGGGGCGGCGCTTTACGACGGCACGCTGTAGGGCGCCAAGCCGCCGGGCTGGTGACACTGCCTTCGGCGGCGCCTTGCTACCCGCGGGCGGGTGACCCAGGCTTATTGGACCCGCGCCGGGACGAGGTGGGGGAAGGGGGGGGGCGGGGCACGAAGAAGAGGAAGAGGACAACGGAGGAGGAGGGGGAGGAGCCAGGGGGGGAGGGGGCAGAGGAGAAGGAGGAGAGGGTCTGAGCGCGGGGGCGTCTCTGCTTACGCAAAATGGATAGGCGATACATTGCCTGAGACCTTTTTCGCAATCTACGCTCCTTTTTGCGAGCCTCGCGAGCCGTCCTCCGACGCTCGCGTCTCTGCGCCCTCCTATGGGACCTACTCTCTTAGTGGCCCTCAAATTCCTGTCCCGTTGGTGACTGGAGGCGGCCACCCCGACTGACCATGGCCAGAGCCACCGTCAGCCGACACAGCCGCCCCTCCCCCCAGATACCCTGCCGGCTCGCCGGGGCCAGTGGCGTAGCCGGGATCCCCATTCCCCCTGGCAGCCGAGGAAGGTCCGTAGACCCAACCGCCTCTACCGCCTGATGGTGGGGGTGGGGTGTGTGAAGTCCCGCCCCCAAACGAGTTCCCCGAAGACTCCGGGGACGGCTGAGCCGAGAACCAACCGAGAGACCCACCGCCAGAGACCGACAGCCTGTCCCCCACCAGAGATCCAGAGGGGGCGCCCCCTGAGGGGCGTGGGTTAGCCGGTTCCTCGTCCATGGCCCCAGCACCCCTCAACCAAAGCAGGAAACACAATCCGAAGACCCATGGATTTACTTTCCCCCCAGTTTTACACCTGGACCCTTCACCGAGAGAAAACTCAGAGGGGGGGGGGAAGGGAACCGTTACCCGCCGACCGCCCGTCCCGGGAGGAGATCCCGGGCTCACTTGGAGGGCCCTTCACCTGGTCGGCCCATACCAGCTCGAAACATAGCCCTATCCCCATGTTCGGCATCACTTTATGCACCTCGGTGCCGGCCTGAGGGACAGGGACGATGTCGAGGCTGGTCACACCCGACAGGAGAGGTTCTTCCCCACCCTGTACTCCTTCCAGGCCGAGGGCGCCGGCGCCGAGGAGCGGGAGCTCTTCGGGCCGCTGGTGGGCGCGACCGAGGCGTACGTGGAGGAGCTGCCCCTGCCGGAGTGCACCGTGTCCTTCGATTCGTGGCAGAGGCCCGGCGGCGTCTCGACCGTTTTTTTGTCGGACGTTCTTGGAAGGATCGAGGCTTCGAGGTTTTCGCACGCTTTCGTCCGTCCTGCAGGGACTACTTGTGTCCACATCCCCCGCAGCTTGGAGATTCGGCGGGCTCCCTTCGCTAGAAGCACGAGGCGCACCGGACATGGACACAAAGCTGCCCCCCAGAGGCTCGAAGTTCCTCCGTGCCCAGTGCGCCTCGGCCTTGTGGCGCCCCTTCCGAGAGAGTCCAAGACTTAAGTCGGGCCTGTCCCTCTTTAGGATGAATATTCAGAAATAGTATAACAATAGTCAGGGATGATTTGCGTTGACTATTTTTGACTATTTTTTGAGCATTTTTGTGGTATTTCTTATTTTTCGTCCAAGAATCCCCCTGTAGAGGGACACGCCCGACCTAATCCAAGACTTTGGAATCCAAGACGCACTGGGTATGGATACATAGGGAAACGACAAGTGACATAAACATAACAACTCGGAGGTCCGCGCGGATTTCTCGGATCCGCGCTGGAGTTCCCTGGCGGCGCCTCTGGCGCCGCCCCTCGCGCGCTCCGCGCGCCAGGCAGGGAGGTCCAGCGCGGATCCGAGAAATCCGCGCGGACCTCCGAGTTTTTATGTGTATGCCATTTTTCGCTCCCCTACAAAGGATACGGTTCAGGAGGGAAAGAAACACACAGACACAATTAATCGTCGATTCCCCCGAAAATAAAGGAAAATATGGGCCGTGGGGGGGAAGAGAAAAACCCAGAAGATATGGGACAATCTGGAGAATCCTGCTGTTTGTGTGTGTGTGTGTATTTGTCTCTGTGCCCCGGGGCCCCTTCGTGCAGCTCTTGCCCGCCCGCTCGCGGAGGCCCTCCAGCCGCGGGTGGCTCTCCGGCAGGCGCGCCCCGCCGAGATGGCGCTCCGCGGGTGCCCGGCTCGCCCCGCCACGGCCGCCGGAGGGGCCGAGCCACGACCCCCAAAGGCCAGGCTCAGTGGAGCGCCCAGGGGGGAGATATTCAAAAGTAGCCAGAAGCCAGTCAGGGGCACGATTTTGTTACACGATGTTTGAATATTGTGGGGTATGCTTGACGTTTGTTGTTATTTGTCGTCCAAAATCCGCCTGCAGGAGGACACGCCCGACCTAAATTCGCCGGCCCAACGGGCCAGAGGCGTGCTAAGAACTCCAGCAACTGGTTAACAGTATTTCTAGTTCGCGCGCGCGGAGCGGCCCCCCCGGGGGCCCCCGGACGAAAAGTACCCCGGCAAGGTCCCGGGAGGAGCCACCAGAGCACTCCAGGGGAGGGCCATTTTTCGACACCCCTCACGAGGATCGTGGCCTCCGAGGGGGAAGCCGCCATCGACTACGCCCCCTTCCCGCCCCAAGAGGCCCCCAAGAGGCCCCCCAAGGGGCCCTGGGGGCCCCCAAGACGCCGTCAAGGAGCCCCAAAAGACTCCCAAGAGGTCCCCAAGAGACTCCCGAAAGGCCCTAAAGAGGGCTCAAGGGCCGGCGGCATGAGCGAAGCGATTAAATAATTAATATCCCACACCCAGAGGAAATGGGATCCGCGGGGCACCGCAAGTGGAGCAGCATGCTATCCACGGAGCTATGGACTTGCTGACCAAAGTTATGACTCTACGGGGGCAGGGGAAGAGAGGGGAAGGGGGATGGAGGATTCACGAGGAGGGGGGCACACGGAAGGCAGAGGGGGCGGGCCTGCTCAGAAGGCTCGGAAGACTGCCTGGTCTTCTGAGAAGCTTTCGGGGCCTTCTCTCAGGCGATCGCACACATGGATCAAAGGGGCGTGGAGTAGCGACGGGCCCCGTGTCCATGGGAGATCGCGGGTTTCCGCCACCGAGCGAGGCGGCACCGGCCGCATTTTGGGGAGGGCACCTCCCCCAACCCATGGATTTGGCGACCGCGCGCCAAATCCATGGCTCGCTAATCCATGTTTCCGCGCCCCCGATTCTGTGAAGACGGGGACAAGTTCTCAGGAGACGCGAGGGCTTCTGAGAAGCCCCGCCGCCTTCCGAGAAGGCCTGCCCCCTCTCGCCTCCCCGGGCGCACCGCCGAGAGGCGGCAGCAGAGCGGCGGTCAGCTGGCCGCGTAGGCTGCGCCACGCCCGCCTGGCGCCCCGGCGCGCCGGGCGTGCCCGAATTCGACCACGCGCGCAGCGCGCAGCGTGACGCTGTGCGCTCAACGGGTGTTCCCAGACGTCCGGCGTCGCGATGTTTTCAAGGCGCGGGCCCCCGAACTCCTCGACCACTTCCCCGAGCCCAGTTTGAAATCCCGAGCCGTTTTTTGTTTGACGGTCCCGAGGCCTGGCCAGACCGCCAATACGCCGAAAACTATGAACCAAAACCTGTCTCGATTTTGCTTCGAACCGCCAGATGTCTTGGTTTGCTCCAGAGGCTTACGCCCTTTCGCCGACCCCCAGCAGGAGTTAAGAAGCCTAGGAAGTTTCTGCCCAGGCGCGTGGATTGCACGGTGCCGTACTGGTTTCTCACACGGCCTCGCAACATCATGTTCAGACGCTCCCGAGCATGACGCGCGCGCACCGGCGTCGGAGCGGAGGAGGACGGCAGGAGGTGCGTAGCAGTGTGCCGAGGTCGACTGGTTGGCCGCGTGCCGCGCAATGTCCAAGAGTAGGAGGAAGGCGTGGAGCTGCGCGGAATCAAAACAAGGATAACGGTGAGGAGGAGGCGACGAAGCAAGAAGAAGAGCGGACGAGGAGCATGCGCAGGAGACGGCAAAAGAGGAGGAAGAGAAGAAAGGGCGGGGGGTAAAGGAGGAGGGACACGACGATAAGGAAGAAGACACGCCGAGTGAACATGAGGAGGGAGACGACACGGTGCGTCGGGGCAGTCTCAATAGCGTGAAACATGTTTTGAGCCGTGGCGCGGATCGGCAGCCGCAAAAGGCAAGAAACTAACACAATGAAAGAATCGTGTGGCAATGCTGCAGGTGTTGGGATACGCCGCCGCCACCTGCGGCTTGTTGGACGGAGGCTTCTTGAATGCCCGCGTTTTTTGTCAGGGAAGCGTCTGGGGCACTTCTTGGAGGCATGTTGGAGTGTTTTGGAACGCTTATCAGCAGCGTCTTGGTGCGTCCGTCGAGGCACCTGGGGGCCATCTGAAGCCTCTCAGGGGTCTCGTGAAGGGCTCTTGGCGCCTCTGGGGGGCGCCTCGGGGGCCCCTCGGGGGCTCTCGGGGTCATCGTGGGGGGACTCGCAATGTCAGTCAGTTGTTTCTTCCTTGGACCTGCCTCGGGGTTCTCTCGGCCCGTCTTGGGCGGCCGTCGCGAGGGTCCGTCTTGGAACGCTCTCTCGCCGTGTTCGGGCGAACTTGGGGACGAGCTTGGGTGTCTTTGGCGCCGTCTTGGCGAGCATTCCGATCATTGACGTCCTTCCCCAGGGAAGGGGACGACTTCCACTCCTTGGGAGCCATCACGGCAGTCCTCGGGGAGCGCTGTGGCTCGTCTCGAAGCCCGCTCGCATCGCCGCGGGGCCACCCTGGGCCATGTCGACGCTTTCTTGGGCCAGTCTTGGCGCCTCGTTTGGGCCGCCCCCTGGGCCGTCTTGGCGCCTCGCTCTGGGCCGCGCTCGGGAGAGGCTCTTGGGCCCCCGGGGGATGCGTTTGGGGGAGCTCGTGCCTCGGGGGCCCCCAAACGGGGTGGTGACCACACCGTGCGGTGAGTCGGTGGGGATTCGGGCTCACCGCACGGTTTCGGGACTCGAGTCGTTCTCCGAGGATGTCTCGGGCCACAGGGGCCTCCAGGGTCCCAAGACCGTGCGGTGACGGACCGTGCGGTGAGGTCTTGGGGGATTTCGAAGTCACCGCACGGTCTGTCACCGCACCGTTTCGGGACTCCAAAGAGCTCGTGCCCCCGTCGCCCCCCCCCCATTCAAACGGCATTTGGGAGCCCAGGGGAGGGGGAAAGGGAGGGCTCGTTTCTATTCCTCCGATCCGATTCGATCCGATTCCGACGGCTTCCGCTTCCGATTCGATGGGGCTTCGAAATTCGATGTGGAGTTAGATTTCTCAGTTTTGGCTCACCAGCCTGCCGATGTCCGCCGATTCGACTTCTCCTGACATGGCTGGCAATTTCCGCCGATTCGATACATTTCGATCCCCGATCCGACTTATCGATTCGATCCTGGGATCTCCTGGAAAGCGGGAGGGGGGCAGCCAATCATCTCACACACCTTGTCCTCCTTCGCAAGCGGCGGTCGGCGGAATGACATGTGTGCACCCACAGAACGACTGTCTCCCTGCCGCAATGCCCGCGGAGGGCAGAGGATCGGGCGGGGCCAGGACGAGGAGAAGTCCGTTCTGGAACGCTCTGAAAGGCCGCGGCGCCCGAGACATCCTCCAGAGCCGCCGGATCTTCGAGATTATAATTCGATGTATCTTCACCCGACGCTGTCCTCGTCCTGGCCTCGTCTGAGGAGGACAGGGGCGGCCCTGTATTCTTTTTCTTGCTCCCCCTCCTTCAGGGGCAACGATAGGTGGGGACAGTATCGCCCATTGATCGCCGATAGGGGCCCGACAGCCCCAGCCCGCCCAGGGAGGTGCGGACTCACTATCGGGGGCCTATCGCCGAGCTATCGGCGATGTATCGCCGATTACAGGTCGATGCATCCCCCCCTGTGCCTATCCCCCCCTATCGTTCCCCCTCACTCCTGGAGGGAAGCACGGGGGAAAGTGTCGATCTGACACGTGCGTTCCTCGTTGTTCTCCCAGAGGGGCTTCGCCCTCTGCCGCCGCCATCCCCCCCCTCTGAGAGTACTCGCGTCGGGGGCAACGACAGGGGGGGGGACTCCTCCTCCTCCTCCTCCTCTTCCTCCTCCTCCTCTTTCCTTCCTCCTCCTCCTCCTCCTCCTCCTCGTCCTCCTCTTTCCTCCTCCTCCTCCTCCTCCTCCTCTTTCCTCCTCCTCCTCCCCCTCCTCCTCCCTCCTCCTCCTCCCTCCTCCTCCTCCTCGTCCTCCTCCTCCTCTCCTCCTCCTCCTCCTCTTTCCTCCTCCTCTTTCCTCCTCCCTCCTCCCCTTCCTCCTCCTTCCTCCTCATCATCCTTCCTCATCCTCCTCCTCCTCCTCTCCTCTCCTCTTTTCCTCCTCCTCCTCCTCCTCCTCCTCCTCTTTCGTCCTCCACTTCCTCCTCCTTCTCTTCCTCCTGGGCACAGCGGGGGACGCATCGACCCCCAATGGCCCACTGATCGCCGATGGGGGTCTGATAGCCTTTTCCCACCCAGGAACGCGCGGATTCGCTATCGGGGCTCCATCGCCGATGTATCGTATCGCCGATTCCAGGTCGATGTCCCCCTGCCCTATGCCAGCCCCCCCCCCTATCGTTGCCTTTCCCAGCATGGCCACGCCTGGTTGGCAGGCTGGTGCGTTGTCTCGTCGGTTGGCTGGCCGGCTGGTGATTGGGAACTGACCTGGGTGGTTTGTTGGCTGGCCGGTTGCGCGCGCCTGCGATGATCAAGGATTAGGTTCGGCAGTGCTACTGCAGGAGGTACATCGAGAACACCAGCCGCAGTCTTCGGAAGATCTTCAGCAGGAAAGTCAACCTCCCGAGGCCACCATCCCTCCTTGATTCCCGGAGGGATTGGTGGCCTTCGGGGGAGCGCCTCCTTGGCAGCACGCGTGGGCTCGAGGGCTCGGGGGCGCGCACGGGACACCCGGCTGCTCACGAGGCATCGTGGCCCCGAGCCTCGGGGCCACGTGCTCACGAAGCGACGGGGGGGGGGGGCGAAAGGGCCCCCCGAACACATACCCATGGTTCACTTCTAATTCTTCAGAGGTTCTTTGATTTTTCGGGAGGCCAAGATCCTTTCATTTCTAGTTCTTCTATCCTGGGCCTCTTCCTGGCCACTACAGGGGGCCAGGAACAATTAGAAACGAGCACACTTAGAAATGAGCACGGTTTGAAATGAACGTCGAGTACCCATCGATCCTTGAAAGCAGTTTTTTCTTGATTCCCGGATTCCAACCTGCTTCAGGCGCCCTCCTGCTCCAGTGATCGGGCGGCCTCTCCTCTTTGCGTCCTCCTCAGGGGGGGCGGGCGGGCACCCAATCTACGTTCAACGCCTTCCTGCTTCAGGTTTCTACCTGCTTCTTCCGACCGATGGGTATCCCAATGCAGAATGGAACAGTCTCGACTGCTTGGACAGTGATGGTGCTTTTGGGCGACCTCCGTGGGGTAGGCTCGTCGCCGCGGGAGCGCGCATTTTGCAGCAACGACTTCCAGGAGATTGTCAGCTCTGGGACACGAACCTGGCGAACTGCGCAAGAGGTTGCTTGGGGAGTACGGCCGTGGCGTGATTCACGATGGATTGTGTCATTGGGGGCGCGAGCCTGGCGCAATGTACCAAAAATGACTGGGGTTTTGGAGACCTGAGAATAATATACGTGGCGAGAGATCGTGGTTTGGGGAGTGCGGGCCTGGCGTAACGCTCCTGGAGGGGGGGGTTCGAGAGCGCGAATCCGGCGCATTTTGCGAAGGGGATGTGGCCTGAGGAGCGCGATATTGTCGCAATTGAAAGGGGAAGGCGTGCCTGGGAAGTCTCTTGGGGCCATTGCGGCCCGTTTTGAAGCGATAGCCTCCCTGCAGAGTTTTTGGAGCAAATTACCCCCCCCGGCCAGCCCAGATAGAACCCCCCCCTCCCTCCGAATCGACCGGATCCGGCTCCCTGGGGAGGGGTTTGGAGAGGGGGAAGCATCTCACACGCCGATGGAACCCCAAGGGGTCGGCGGATTCTGGCGTGGTCAGCGGGTGGTTTTCGGACTCCACCTTCCCCCTCGCGCGGTTTACATTGGGATTAGGACAGATATAATTTTCGCTTGTATGTACCTTGTGGGCTGGAACCGGCGCGGGGAACTTGAACACCTCTGCCTCGCAGCCTGCTGGACCCACAAGGGTGCCAGCGGATCAAATTTGTCTCCGTAGAATGAAAGAGGCTGCCAAAGACGCCAGCAAGAGCGTCGCGGCTTCTTTGTGGAGGAGCAGATGCAGATGATGATGATGATGATGACGACGATGATGATGATGATGATGAGGAGGATGCTGCTGATGATGATGATGATGATGCTGATGGTGATGATGATGATGATGATGATGATGATGATGATGATGATGATGCTGCTGATGATGATGATAATGATGATGATGATGATGATGATGATGATGATGATGATGATGATGGTGATGATGATGATGATGATGATGATGATGCTCATGCTCATGCTCATGCTCATGCTCATGCTCATGCTCATGCTGATGATGATGATGATGGTGATGATGATGCTGCTGATGTTGATGCTGATGCTGATGCTGCTGATGATGATGATGGTGATGGTGATGGTGATGGTGATGATGGATATGATGATGCTGCCCTCAATGATGCTGCTGATGGTGTTGATGATGATGGTGATTATGATAGTGATGATGATGATGATGATGATGATGATGATGACGATGATGATGATGATGATGATGATGATGATGATGATGATGGTGATGATGATGATGGTGGACATGATGATGGTGACGCGTATGCTGTTGATGACGATACAGATGATGATGCCGATGCTGATGCTGTTGCTGATGATGCTGATGACGCTCGTGATGGTGATGATGATGCTGATGCTACTGATGATGGTGATGATGGTGATGGTGGTGATGATGGTGATGGTGATGGTCATTGTCATGATGGTCACGATGGCGATGGTGATGGTGATGGTGATGGTCATGGTCATGATGTTGAGGAGGAGGACGAGGACGAGGACGGGGCGGACCAGGAGGAGGAGGAGGAGGAGGAGGAGGAGGGGGAGGAGGAAGAGGAGGAGGAGGAGGAGAGGAGGAGGAGGAAAGAGGACGAGGAGGACCAGAGGAGGAGGAGAAGGAGGAGGAGGAGGAGGAGGAGGGGAGGAGGAGGAGGGGGAGGACGAGAGGAGGAGGAGGAGGAGGAGGAGGAGGAGGAGGAGGAGGAGGAGGGGGAAGAGGGGAGAAGGAGGAACAGGAGGAGGAGAGGAGAGGAGGAGGAGCAGGAGGAGGAGGAGGGGAGGAGGAGGAGGAGGAGGAGGAGAGGGGGAGGAGGAGGAGGAGGAGGAGGAAGAGGAGGAGGAGGAGGAGGAGGAGGACGAGGAGGAGCAGGAGGAGGAGGAGGAGGATGCGACAACGAGGACAACAAGGAGGACGAGGAGGAGCAGGACGAGGAGGGAGGAGGAGGGGGGATGATGACGATGAGGGAGGGTAATGGAGGAGGAGGAGGGGGAGGAGGAGGAGGAGGAGGAGGAGGACGAGGAAGGAGGACTGAGGAATGAGGACTGAGGAAGGAGGAAGGATGATGACGATGAGGTCGGAGCAGGAGGAGGAGAAGAAGTCGGAGGAGGAGGGCAAGGAGGAGGGGAGAGGGAGAGAGAAGGAGGAGGATGAGGAGGAGGATAAAGACTAGTGTAAATCCAAGAGGCATCAAGGATGTGTGAATAACCCCCCCTCCAAGCTCTATCTTCAGAGAACCCTACACTGGTTCAATTTCACTGAGCTGGCTACCTCGTTGGAAGACATGTGGTTGACGACCCTGAAGCATGCCAAAACATCGTTCTTGGGATTCCAACGCCACGGATTAACCTGACTGTTGCGTCTCGACGATCTTGGTTCGTGCCGGAACGCCACTATTAAGACTGAAACATATCGAATCCGCATAACACCCCCATAAGCCTGAATCCTTCCAAAACGCTGTTTCTGGTACGCTGATCATGAGAACCCGTGAAGCTCTTGCAAATACGGCGAGAGCCACATTTTGAAAAGAAGCCGCACTCAATCCGTGAAGCTCTTGCAAATGTTTAAGGCGAGTTTGCGCGGTGCTAAGGCGAGAGCCACATTTTTGGAAAAAAGGAACCGCCCTCAATCCGTGAAGCGCTTGCTATGTTTTAAGACGAGCGCGCGTGGTGCTAAGGTGACAGCCACATTCTGAAAACGACTCGCCTTCAATCCGTGAAACTCTTGGAAACGTTTTAAAAGAATGTGCGCCGCGCTGAGGCGGGAGCCACATTTTGGAAGCCACCCGCCGTCCATCTGTGAAGCAGCTGACAGGTCTTAGGCTTCAGAGTCGTAGGTGGCGACGAGAAGTCTCAGGGGAAACGCCTGGTCCGCCATAAAAACTGGCCTCGGGGTGCGACACGAGAAGTTACCGATAAGGAGAAGGAATGGGGGAGGAGGAGGAGGAGGAGCAGGCGGGGGTGCGCAGAGGATTTCTGGAGGCCTCCCAGAGTCTCTGGAGGCCTTTGCCGGGGCCCCCCAGTCCCCTGGAGGTGCCTGGAGGCCCTCGGAGGCCCACCGGTTGCAAAGAGCGCCCCAAAGGCTCGATGCCCGAGCATCAGAGGGGGGGGACGAGGAGGAGGAGGAAAAGGAAATGGAGGAGGAGAAGGAGGAGGAGGACCAGTGTAAGCCCGAGAGTCACCAACGATGTTGGAATACACCCTCCGTCCAATCTCCCTGTTTCATAGGTCCCTGCAACGGTTCATTTCCATTGAGGGACTGCTTCGCTGGAAGACAAGTGGTTGAAGACCCTGAAGCATGCGAACACATTATTCTCGGGATTCCAGCGCCACGGATCAACCTGACTGTTGCGTGCTGACGACTTTGAATCGTGCCAGAACGCAAGGCTTGGGACTTCAACTCAGCGAATCAACGTAAGCGTAATCCTGAATCCTTTCAGAACACCATTTCTGGTACGATGGCAATGGAATTCCGTCAAACCCTGGCAATGTGTTGCAACAGGTGTGCGCTTTCGCCTTAGCTAAAGGGACAGCCACATTTTGAAAACGACCCGCCCTCAATCCGTGAAGTTTTTGCAATTTGTTCAACGAGTATGCGCGGTGCTAGGGCGAGAGCCACATTTTGGAAACGGCCCGCCCTCAATCCGTGAAGTTCTGGCAAGTAGTTACAACGAGTGTGCGCCGCGCTAAGGCAAGAGCCACATGTTGAAAAGAGACAGCCCTCAATCCGTGAAGCGTTTGCTTGGCATCGCTCTGTGCATATTTCCTTCGGCGAGGGCCGTCGAGGAGCATCCTTGATCACTTGGCGAAAACAGCACGCACGACACCGGAAAAAAAACACAGGGAATGGACGTCCGAGCGATGGCGAGTTTGCAACTTGTTACAACGACTGCGCGCCGTGCTACGCCGAGAGCGACCTTTTGAAACGCACCCGCCCTCAATCCTTGAAGTTTTGGCAGTTGTTTGCAACGAGTATGCGCCGCGCTTGTGCGAGAACCACATTTTGACAACGCGCCGCCCTCCATTTGTGACACTGCTGCGAATTGAAAGTTCCAGGATCATAAGTGGGAAGGGAGTCTCAGGCGAAACGCCCGGCCCGCCCGAAAATCGGGCCTCGGGGTGCGACAGGGGTGAGTTATTCATTCAAAAATGGAGGAGGCGGAGGAGGAAAATGAAGAGGAGGAGGGGCGGGAGGAGGAGGAGGAGGACGAGGAGGACCAATGTAAACCCAAGAGTCATCAACGATGTTGGAATACACCCTCCATGCAAACTGCCTCTTCAAATGGCTCCTACACTCGCTCGTATCCTCTGAGGGAATTGCCCCGTTGGGGGACAACCGTGCGAAAACCCTGAAGCGTGTCAAGGCACCATCATTATCAGGATTTCAACGCCACGAATTAAAGGTGACTGTTACGTCTGGGCGATCCTGAATCGTGCCAGAACAGCATTCGTGGGACTTCGACACCGCGAATCATCGTGACAGTTGCGCCCTGATAGTTCTGATTCGCTCCAGGGTTTTTGTTGGCACGTTCAACATGAAAACCAGTGAGTTGTATTATAGCTTGTTAGACGAATGTGCGCGGCGCAAGGACGGGAACCACATTTTGAACATGAACCGCCCTCAATCCGTGAAATGCTTGCAGCTTGTTTTCAGCGATTGTGTGCGGCGCTAAGACAAGAGCCACATTTTGGAAATGACCTATCACACTCCGCTAAACGATTGCAAGTTCGCGGCGCTAAGGCGAGAACCGCATGTTCAAAACCACCCGCCCTCAGTTCGTGAAGCTCTTGCACATTTAAACAACAAGTGTGCGCGGCGCTAAAGGCGAGGACCACATGTTGAAAACAACCCGCCTTTTATCTGAGAAGCTGTTGTCAGTTTAAAACATCAAGCTCATAACAAGTGAGGAGTTCTCAGGGGAAACGCCAGGGCGGCCCTTTCGACCAGCCTCGGGGTGCGACAAGGAGGGGCTATCTAAAGGAAACGGAATGGGGGAGGAGGAGGAGGAGGAGGAGGAGGAGGAACAGGAGGAGGAGGAGGAACAGGAGGAGGAGGAAGAACAGGAGGAGGAGGAAGAACAGGAGGAGGAGGACGCGGAGGACGCGGAGGAGAGGGAGGAAGAGGAGGAGGCGGAAGAGAGGGAGGAACGGGAGGAAGAGGAGGGGGCTGCGGCGGAGGAGGAGGAGGAGGAGTGGAGGACGCAGAGGAGGAGAGTCAGATTCCTTGCTCCGCCTGGGGGGGACGAGCAGGGGCTGGCCGGGAGGGGTGGGGGTAGGGAGGGGGCCTCGAGATCGTTTTCGATCGGCCCAGACACGAGCATCCACCGAGTTGCTACCCAACTCCCCTTGGCGAGCAAACGGCTCGGCCGCCGACTCCCAGGCCACGGCCGCCGCGCGCTGCCGTCAGCCCCCCCCCTCGGCGCCGACAGGAAAGGGAGGAGGAGGAGGAAAAGGAGGAGGAGGAGGAGGAAGGAGGATGACGAGGAGGGAGGAGGAGGGAGGAGGAGGGAGGAGGAGGGAGGAGGAGGAGCAGGAGCAGGAGAAGGAGCAGGAGGAGGAGGAAGGGGGGGAGGAGGAGAAGGAGGAGGAGGAGGAGGAGGAGGAGGAGGAGGAGGATGGGGACGCCGGTCGCCGAGCGCGTCGGCTGGGGACTGGGCAGGCGGGCGGGTGCACAACACAGCAAATGAGGATCTCAAACCTGTGATGAGCAGGTCGGAGGAGGAAAAGGCACCCACACCGCTGCCTTTCCTTCGTTTTCGTTGTTGGGGGGAGCCTGGGAGCCCTTCGTCTCCACGGATGGATTTGCCTCGACGGTTTGGGCAGGACGCACCCAGTGAAAGGTCCAGGGAAGAGCGGTATCGGTATCGTGTGGTTTGCCCAGCCTGGGGCTGGCGAGGGTGGAAGGGGCGTGGGAGGGGGTGGATGGGGAGGGAGGGGGCGGGGAAGGGAAGGATGCGATGGAGGTGGAGTTTGTGGGCGAAGGAGGCGGTCTGGGGGGAGGGTGATGGCGGGGAGGGAGAGGAACAGGAGGAGGAGGAGGAGGAGGAGGAGGAGGAGGAGGAGGAAGGGTCTGTAGCCATTTTGGTTCAACGCTAACCGTTGTGAAGGGCTAAGAGGCTTGGGAATCAGCGATTAGTTTTGGCCCGGCCGTTGCTCTTTCGAGAGAGTTCCTTGGCCCCAATCTCTGTTGTGAGTCGGTTCCCGACGACGACGGCGTTTTTCATCCAGCGAGTCATCCACAGCTTTTTCGGCCACGGCATCCGCCAGCGCGAGCCCCACCGGGGCCTTTCCTCATGCCTGGCACGGGCGCAGATGGCCTCAGCGCTGACAGGCAGTCGGCGCAACCCCGTGGTGGGCAAGCCGTTCCCCGTGCGAGTCCGCAACGGACCGTGGCAATGGCGGTGGCGGCCCCTGTGACGACGGGCATCAATCTCGTCCAAGGAGGCGGCCAGAGGCGCGGCGGCAAATTCGGCATCAGATTTCAAGCCTGCTGCAGCTGGTGGCGTTCGTCGTTATCATGGTGGTCACCGCTCTGTTGATCGCGAAAGGGGCCCGGTCCAAAGAAGTGCTGTTACATGGGCCGCGGGCACACCCCGTCACGCAGGGGGTGGCAGCACTTCTGATTCCTCGCTCTCGAGGGGCAGTCTAGACGAGTTGTTGGCAGCATCCAAGGCCGACATCACCAGCAGCATCGACAGTCCGGTCTCGGGCATCGTGGGTGAGGTCAACGGACACACCGGGGCGCTCGCCAAAGCGGCCGCTTCCAAGCAGGAGATGGTCAACGTGCAGGCCCAAGGGAAGGTCACGGAGCTCAGGCAGAGGCAGAGCGACACGGAGAAGGCTTATGTCCAGATGCGGGAGGAGATGGAGCAGCTCAGACGCTCAATATACCATGCGGAGGCCACGGTGTCGATCAAGGACTACGGCAGCAGGCTCGAGCGGAATAGGGACCAAGACGGCATTATGTTCGTGGCCAACACGACGGCCAACGCGACGATTGAACGAGTGCGAGCGGAGCTGGCCAAGTGGATGCAGGACGCGGGTTTTGACGAGTCGGCGTGGACCTTGCACGGCAGTTCTCAAGGGAGGCAATTCGTGGTGTAAGTGGCGGAGGATTCGAATGCAGCGATGCGGGAGGCCAAGCAGGCACGTAAGCATCTCAGGCTCCAGGACGGTTCAGTGGAGGAAACTCAGTGTTCAGACGCTCGAGGGTGGGGAGTCACGGATTCTCGCGGGGCTGGACAAGGCAGATCGCATGGTGCGGAGAGGGATTCAGACGAAGAGGCTTGCGTCGATCCTGCAGGATGTCCACCCTGGAATAAGGGAGGCGCGACAATGGCAAAAAGGCATCGCTTACGTGGCGGGCGCGCCGTGCTTCCAGCTCGAGATCGGCAAGGAAAAGGATGAGCAGACAAAGCCACGTTGGAACTATGCGTCGGCGCAGGGCAAAGCTTCGGACAACAATGCGACGTTTGCGATGTCCGATGCTATATCCCACGCGTCGGAAGAAGTCCGGCGGCATATTCAACGCGGCACTTCCGCCTTGGCACGAGAGCTTGGCGCCCATATTTGATTCTTCCCCTTCCCACTGTACGTGGAACGCGCGCGCGCTCCTTCATCCCGTATCTTCTGCGAGGAAGATGAAGCGTGCCGGGCCTTTTCTCGCTCCCAATCCTATTGCGGTGCTGCAGGAGGTTCATAGCGCCGGGGAGGAACTACTGCAGCGAATAGCCTCCCTAGCCGCGAGATGGCAACGTTTGCGTCGATCCCTCGGCACGACGCCTGCGGGGTATCTGTTCTTCTCGCGGGCATTTCGCAAGCTGGGGCTGAGGTGGCGAGGCCATGTGGGCGCATTCGACACCCTGTGCTATCCCCGGGACGCGAGCAGAGATTGCAGGTCAAGGCTCGGGCTGACCACCCAGACGGCACGCGCAAGGAAGACGTTGTCATGACGATTAACGGCGTGCACACATTTGGCCTGAATGAGGATCTGTAGGTCGATCTCGAGCCGCATCAGCGCCGGGGTGGAAGTGGCAAGCCGCGACTAACAGTGATCGACGGCCATGGTGATTGGCGACCTCAACTCCCGCGAGAGGGCGGCAACGTTCCTGGCGGCGCCTGAGATTAACGAGGGGGCGGCAACGACCACTCGGCATCGCGAGCGCGGAGCTGCATGGCAGGAGGCGCTCAGCGGCGTGGCTGGGCTCGACCCCGAGGCCCCGGCCCGCTGCGCTGCGTCTAAGGAGCGGCTGACACAATCGGACGAGATCTACGTGTCTACCCCTGGCTGGCTGCTGCTCCGGAGGGCCGTCGCGGCCGCGGCGCCGGGCGTGCCGGAGTTGCTCGACGAGGGGGGCATCTCCGATCACTCGCCGCGGCGGGCAGCGCGCCCGAGGGCGCCTGAGCACGAGTGGCATGTCCCCCGCCACGTCTGCCAATCTTCCGCCTTGTCTCGCTGCCCCCCCCCCCCCCCTCTTCCTCCACGCGCCCGATCTCATGGGGCTCCCGGCGGTTGCGAGGCGGCGCGAGTATCGAAGTTCATTTGCCTCGCGTGGCAGCCCAGATGACTGGGGAGTCGCCGATCCAGGTTCAGGCCCCAGAAATCGGAGCGAGGCTGCGGCTTTTTTTCGCGGTGAATCGGAGTGACTTTTCCCCCGCCTCAAAGCTGCTTGCGACTGCCCCTGCCGCCGCAGAGGACCTGCAGACGCTGCGGGGGGGATCGGCGTCTCAGAGTCGCGCGGTCGAGGTCCGTCGTCAGTGCGAATCCCCCCAGAGCAACTGCGAGAAAAAGCGCTGACACTCTGCTGGGGCGGCGGCGAAGGCTTCCCAAACACACAGGGGCGCGAGGTACTGGGGGCCCACGTGCGCGCAGAGCGCAGACGTGGCAAGCCGTGGTCCCCGAGCAGGAAGTCCCCCCCCCATCCGGCCCTGCCCCTCCACTGGGGGCGAGCTGCTCTCGGCGCGTCGCGACGTGGCATTGGCGCTGCATTAGCTCTGGGCCCCAATCTTTCAATGGGCGTCGCTGGCTGTAAGGCGCATTCGCAGGCGCCTGGCGAGGCATTCGCAGCCGCTTGACTGGCCGGGAGTCGGGCCGTCATCGCGTTCGCCCATTCAAGCGGCGTCGGGGCAGACTAAACCTACGGCCCTTGGCCCAGACGGGCCTCCTTACGCTGCGCGGCAGCAGAACCCCTGTTCTGCTGAGATCCTCTTTGACCCCGTCCAGCCCCACCTCAGCGCGCCCCCCCCCCCCCCCCCGTTGTTTTGATCGAGCTCTTGCTCGGCATTGCCCCCAGCGGCAAGCGGGGGGAGGCAGGCGCGACGCGACCGCCAGCGCACGAGAATGCAAATGTGAAACTTCGTTTGTGGGCCTGTAACTTCCAGCTCGAGGGTGCGTCGAATGCTCGGTCTCAGGCGGGCCAACGAGGATTCCTGGCGGTTCGCAACTTCCCGGGCGACGTTGCTCTTCTGGACACCGCAGCCAGGACTGCAGGAATGCCCATCCAAGCCAAGGGGCGACATCCTATTGTTTTTCTTTCGGGCTTTGGCAGCGCTTTCCTATTTCCCGCTCGCGCGTTCTGTTGGGGGGGGCCTTCAGGTTCCATGGGTTGCCCGCGTTTTTTGTGTTGGTTCCTTCTTCCTCTTCTCAGGCTCCCTGCGCCTTTGCGGCGGCGAAGGCGGCGCTTCTGGGGGCTCTGGTTCGCCGCTGTAAGGCCACGCTAGCGGCTCGACGAGGACGATTTCTATGGGCCCCTCTTCGGAGGGATATTCGGCAACGCCTTGGCCAGCATCCCGGGTCGGAGTCGGGTGCGTCTGCGGACGTTGCGACGTTGTGGGGCTAGCTCTTGTCATCGCTGAAGACGCTTCCAAAAGTGCATGGAGTTCCTTATGCTGCTGAAGTCGTCGCGGGATTGCAACCAAAAGGTGCCCATGTGCTTCATCGTGCCTCTTGAAGCTGAATCCACCGCGCGATTGCGTGCTCGTCTGGCAGCCCAGGTTCAGTCTCTGGTGCTCAAGTGGCATGCGGGCGCGATTGCACCTGCTGCGGAGCATTTAGAGGCGTAGGTCTGATGCGGGGTCTGATGTTTCGTGGGTGGGTGGAGGTGGCGGGCGGAACCACTACGCGGCAGGCCGCCCCCCCCCTTCCCCCCCCCTTCCATCCAACTCTATGACGCACGTGCCGTATCCAAGTTCTCGTGTCTTTGCCAGTCGGTTCCGCCCCCAGAGCAGGCTGCCCGCTGCAAGTCTTGGGCCGTTCACCACGTTCTTCGCTTACCTCCCTTTTCTTTCCCATTCCCCCAACTCCTGGTTCTGCGGGGTTGGGCGAGGATCAGGCCTCTTTCGTTGCGGGTTCGGGCGACAGCAGCTCTCTGGCGTGCCAGCCAGTCCACCATCACCAACTGGAAGGGCTCGTGGGTGCGCCCCCGAGGCCAAGGTGCGCCGATTCTTGCCCATGACCCTGCAGCGCGGTGGGAAGCGGTCTCCTGGCTTCTGGGTGCGTCGAGTCTTTCTCAAGGACCTCCCCCACGCCTCCGAGTTTTAGAAACGCAGCTGTGCCCAGGGACCCCACCCGCAAGGCTCGCGAAGCTGCGGCGATGGAGCGGAGGGAGAACTCCAGAACCCAAATTCAGCGAGTTGTTTCTCGGTCCCTGGGGGCCGATCTCTTTCAAGTCGAGCTGGAGGCTGCGATTCGGAAGTTTCCCCGCAATTGCTGTCGACCCCGCCGGCCTGGCAGATGTCTGTGGTTCGTGCTCTGGTGGGGGGTGGGCGACGGAAGGGGGAATGAACCATGCCGACCGCCAGTGTGTTTTTGGTTGCGAGCATGAGGGTGCGACTGACTCGCAGGCCCAGTACATGAGCTGCCCAAGCATGTGGGGAGCTGTGCGCGACGCCTGGTTTCCCGACCGCCCCATGCCCTTCCATCTTGACGAGCGCCTGTGCGTTGCTCGAAGTCTCTCTGATGATCAGTGCGACCTGGCGTGCCAACGCATGATCGTTGCATACTACATGTGCCGCGCACGTCGCCACGCGTCTCGCACGTCTCTCGTCTGTTCGGTACGTTCGGCGCGCGCAACATTTGCAGCAGGCAGAGATAGGTGGTGACTGAGGGATTATCGACCGACTTATACACGAGGGGAAGGGGGAGGAAAAGGAGGACGAGAAAGAGGAAGAGGAGGAGGAGGAGACAAAGGAGGAGACAGGGGAGGAGACAGGGGGGAAGAGGAGGAGGAGGAGGAGGAAAAGGAAAAGGAAAAGGAAACGGAAAAGGAAAAGGAAAAGGAAAAGGAAAAGGAGGAGGAGGAGGAGGAGGAGGAGCGATCTTGGAGGCGGAGGAGGAAGAGGGCACTTGTAAAGGGTGATTAGGGGTACGTATGGCCCCTCACCCTGGCGTCAGCCGGCAGAGCGCGCGCTGCCAGGACCGCCCACCAGAGGCCCCTGCAGCCAGACGTGCACGCAGCTCTGAGCTCCTCGAGGGCGCTCCCAAAAAGAGCCTCCGATCCTCGATCCTGGAGTCCCCCTCCTGTCAGGCGATCGCAAACATGGATCAAGGGGGCGTGGATTATGGCGACGGGGCCCGCTTCCATGGGACATCGCGGATTTCCGGCGCCGAGCGAGGCGGCACCTGCTGCATTTTGGGGGGGCACCTCCCCCGATCCATGGATTTGGCGACCGCGCGCAAAATCCATGGATGGCGAATCCATGTTTGCGCGCCCCCGATCCTGAGCCTTCGATGCTCGAGTCCCTTTTCCGCCCCGGTATTCGGTCCTCGAGCCATCCTCGCTCGGGCATCGGGCCGCTTGAGGCCCTCCGCTCACGCCGGCCTCCTCGAGGGCGCCCCCAAAAAAACCCTCGATCCTGGAGTCCTCTTCCTCCTGCTCTTGACATCGCTCGGACGCGTGCATTCTGCACCGGCGTGGACCACCTGAGAGGATCTTGGACCATCCTGCGAAGCACACGCGCGCGAAACCGAAAAGTGCACACGGTGGATGGGCGTCCGAGCCACGGCGGGCCCTGAGATTTCACCCCTCGAGTCCCTCTTCCGCTTCGGCCTTCGGTCCTCGAGCCATCCTCGCTCGGGCATCGGGCCGCTTGAGGCCCTCCGCTCACGCCGAGGGCATCGATGGCCGCCTGCGCCCCCACAGCTCCAGAGGTGAGAGGCCCCGGGGCTTGGCACCGCTCGGACGTGTGCGTCGTCTCGGCGAGGGCGGTGCCAGAACATCCCGACCCTCCTGGGGCATCTCGCGGCCCCCATCGAGGGGAACACAACCGCGCGCGAGAGCACGCGGGGCACGGGGAATGGAGGATGCCCGAGCGATGGCAAAACAATTGTCTGTTTCTAGATTCGGGCAAGCTTACTTGCATGGACGGGGGGTGCTGAACCTGAAGCAAGCCGCCTACGACTTGACGTGTGGAAGCCGCGCAAGTCGAACGGCACTCGCACGCCAGCATTCGCTTGAAGAGGGGCGAGAGGGGGTGGGGAGGGGGGGGGCGAACGCCATGCAAGTAAACTTAGCCGATGCCTAGATGTTTTAAAATGAGCAGCAAAGCATCAAAACACACACACACACATACACACATACACACACAGCAAACAACAATAAACAAACAACTCAAAGGGGATGCCCCTCGACCCTCTGGGTGTGCCCCCTCTGCCCGCGAGAGGGACAAGCGCGGCGAGAGAGCCCACCCCACCGCGCTCACAGGCCCTCCGCGCTCTCACGCCGCGAGCGGCGCCCAGCCGCCCCAGCCAACGCGGCCACCCAGACAGGGCTTATTTCGATTCCCCTCCGACTCGAGTCGATCCGATTCCGATTTCGACTCGACTTCGGATTCCGATTTGGATTTCGATGTCCTCCTCTTCCTCCTCCTCCTCCCCCTCTTCCTCCTCCTCCTCCTCGTCCTGCTCCTCTTCCTCCGCTTCCTCCTCCGCCTCCGCCTCCGCCTCCATCTTCGGATTCCGAAGTGGCTTCCGATTCTTCCACGGAGGCCTACCAGCCCGCGGATCTCGGCCGAGTCGACCGCTCCCGACCCGGCTGCCGACTTCCCGCCGATCCGACTCGTGTCGGCCGCCGCTCCGACTCGTCGACTCGATGCCGGGCCCTCCTGCCCGGAGGCCAGCGGCCGTGGGGTCCCCGTCGACCCGCTCGGCGTGCCCTCCTGGAGGGAGAAAGATATCGGCGGCGAGCGAGGGGAGGAAGCCTCGGGAGTTTCGGGCTCGTCGACCCGCTCGGCCTGCGCTCCCCGAAGAAGAGTAAGAAAATCGGCGGCGAGCGAGAGGGGGAAGCGAGGTTCGAGGTCCGAGGTTTTCGGGCGTCGTCGGGGGCGGGGTTCGAGGATGTCCGGCGTCGTCCTCGGTTCTCGGCAGTTTTCCAGCCTCGGGATGCGCTCCAGCAGCAGCGCCGCGTCGAGGTCATTCCCGGGGTGCCCGGATCGTCCCGAAGGGCCGCCAGGGGCCGGAGTTATAATAACCACAAAACCACCAGCAGAGGGGGCGGGCCTTTTCAGAAGGCTCGGAAGTCCCCAGGCCTTCGAGAGAAGTTTTCGAAGCCTTCCCAGCGGACGCAGAAGACTTAGAAGGCTGGAGGGTTTCTGAGAAGCCCCGCCGCCTTCAGAGAAGGCCTTCTCTCTGTCACTTCCCCTCCTCTCTCGCCGCCGAACAAAGCGGCATCCGCGCGGATTTCTCGGATCAGCGCTGGAGGCACCGCCAGGGGGCCCCAGCGCCGATCCAAGAAATCCGCGTGGAGCTCCTGCAAGCCTACGTCTGTACCTTCATTGAATCGCTTCGCTAATTTCGCCAGAAACATTCTTAAATTTTCAGTTCTCACCGGAGATGTTGGCACGCCTCAGGCCCGTTGGGCCGGCGAATTTGGTTCTCTGCCTCTGCCCGCGAGCGGAGGTCATCGAGGATGAAAAAAACCCTAGCCCTAACGACACGATGACGACGCGGCCTCACTGAGGTTAGATCTTTTGCGTTAGGGGTAATGGATCTGGGCGGTTTAGTTCGATAGCTCTGCAAGAAAGATCCCCGATCCCTAATGCTCTTGGCCCTCCTAGGGCTCTCTTTTTGTTGAATCGGCGAGAATCGGGGAACCGTAAAGACTCGAGTAAGCCGGAACTCGGGTTTGCCGACGTTAATTGACGAGCCCGCTTTGGATTTTGATTGATTAATGATCGTCGGATGCTTGCAGCGGGAGTTCGCGCCAAATGTCAGATTGGATCTCGTCATTTTCATGACGGACCCGTCAGGCCAGCCCGAGTCCCCCGTACCCGAGTCTTACGTCTCCCCGAGAAGAAAAAGCCCACCCGATCGCGGCAGGTGGTGCTGGTGGGCATGGAAGGCCGCCTGCAGGTGCCCCCCGGGCGCCCTCCACCGCGGCCGCATCGTGCGCGGCTGGCTTGCCGTTGCCCCGCGGTAGAGCTCGCCGTCGTCGTCGTCGTCGTCGTCGTCGTCGTCGTCGTCGTCGTCGTCGTCGTCGTCGTCGTCGTCGTCGTCTCTATCCCTCCTCCTGCTCCTCCTGCTTCCTTTTCTTCCATCCTCCTCCTCCTCCTCCTCCTCCTCCTCCTCCTCCTCCTCCTCATGTGCACAACCCTCCCTCCTTCTCCATCGCCCTCCCTCTTCGCTTTTTCCTTCTCGAGCTGGGGCACGCCCCTATTTAGCAATGGGTCGTCTACCATTGGCATCGCCCTCCCGCCCCTCATCGAGCTGGGGCGTCCTCCATTGGCATTTCCTTGCCGCAGCTGCGACACATCCCAGGGAGTGTTCAATGGCGGCTCGCTCACGGTCCTCGCAGTTTGGTCAGTCATCTTATCGTCCTCGTCCTGCTCCTCCGCCTCACCTCTTCCTCCTCCCTCCATCCTCCTCCTCCCTCGTCCACCTCCCTCTCTCCCTTCCTCCTTCCTCCTCCTCCTCCTCCTCTTCCCTTCTACATCTCCCTCTCCTCCTCCTCCTCCTCCTCCTCCTCCTCCTCCTCCTCCTTCTCCTCCATCTCCTCCTCCCTTTTCCTTATCCTCCTCCTCCTCTTCCTCCTCCTGCTTCCTCCATCCCCCTCCCTCTCTCCTCTTGTGGGCAGGCCGCAGGCAGACAAGGGCGCGAGGCGTCACATAATTGGGCCGCCGCGGCGGCCCGTCTTGCGGCACTGTACCCGCGTCTGCTCGCGCACATTTCGGCAGCATCGCCAGCGCGCCAGTCCAGGAGGAGGAGGAGGAAGAGGAGGAGGAGGAGGAGGAGGAGGAGGAGGAGGAGGAGAACGACGACGACGACAATGACGACGACGACGACGACGACGAAGAGGCGGAGATGGAGAACGACGACGACGACGACGACGACGACGACGACGACGACGAGGCCGACGACGACGAGGACGACGACGACGAGGCCGCCGCCGCCGCCGCGGCGTCGGCGCGCCAGTTTTTCCCGACCACCCTGTGGTGTTGGGTCCTCGTTTTGAAGAGACGGTCCCCGCGTCCTCCTCTCCTCTCCTCTCCTCTCCTCTCCTCTCCTCCTCTCCTCTCCTCCTCTCCTCCTCTCCTCTTCACCCACCCAGTACACCTTTTCGTGGCCCCATAGGGAGCTCCGCCGAAGGCCCCAGTGCTGCCGCCCGCATGCGTCACCCACACCCAATTCGGCACACCCCTCACACGCTTCGTGGCCCCATAGGGAGCCCCACCGAAGGCCCCAGTGCTGCCGCCCGCATGCGTCCCGCACACCCAATTCGGCACACCCCTCACACGCTTCGTGGCCCCATAGGGAGCCCCACCGAAGGCCCCAGTGCTGCCGCCCGCATGCGTCACCCACACCCAATTCGGCACACCCCTCACACGTTTCGTGGCCCCATAGGGAGCCCCACCGAAAGCCCCAGTGCTGCCGCCCGCATGCGTCCCGCACACCCAATTCGGCACACCCCTCACACGCTTCGTGGCCCCATAGGGAGCCCCACCGAAGGCCCCAGTGCTGCCGCCCGCATGCGTCCCGCACACCCAATTCGGCACACCCCTCACACGTTTCGTGGCCCCATAGGGAGCCCCACCGAAGGCCCCAGTGCTGCCGCCCGCATGCGTCCCGCACACCCAATTCGGCACACCCCTCACACGTTTCGTGGCCCCATAGGGAGCCCCACCGAAGGCCCCAGTGCTGCCGCCCGCATGCGTCCCGCACACCCAATTCGGCACACCCCTCACACGTTTCGTGGCCCCATAGGGAGCCCCACCGAAGGCCCCAGTGCTGCCGCCCGCATGCGTCACCGCACACCCAATTCGGCACACCCCTCACACGTTTCGTGGCCCCATAGGGAGCCCCACCGAAGGCCCCAGTGCTGCCGCCCGCATGCGTCCCGCACACCCAATTCGGCACACCCCTCACACGTTTCGTGGCCCCATAGGGAGCCCCACCGAAGGCCCCAGTGCTGCCGCCCGCATGCGTCCCGCACACCCAATTCGGCACACCCCTCACACGTTTCGTGGCCCCATAGGGAGCCCCACAGAAGGCCCCAGTGCTGCCGCCCGCATGCGTCCCGCACACCCAATTCGGCACACCCCTCACGCGTTTCGTGGCCCCATAGGAAGCTCCACCGAAGGCCCCAGTGCTGCCGCCCGCATGCGTCACGCACACCCAATTCGGCACACCCCTCACACGTTTCGTGGCCCCATAGGGAGCTCCACCGAAGGCCCCAGTGGCGGCGCTCACATGCGCATGCGTCCCGCACACCCATTTCGGCACATCCCTGACAGGTTTCGTGGCCCCATCATCCACCGGAGGCCCCAGTGGCGGCGCTCACATGCGTCACCCACACCCACCCAATTCGGCACACCCCTCACACGTTTCGTGGCCCCATAGGGAGCTCCACCGAAGGCCCCAGCGGCCGCGCTCACATGCGTCCCCGCCACCCATCCCGGCACGCCCCTCACAACAACAGGTTTCGTGGCCCCATAGGGAGCTCCACCGAAGGCCCCAGTGGCACCGCCCGCATGCGTCACCACCCGCACCCAATTCGGCACACCCCTCACACGTTTCGTGGCCCCATAGAGAGCTGCACCGAAGGCCCCAGTGGCGGCGCTCACATGCGTCCCCGCCACACATCCCAGTACACCCCTCACGCGCTTCGTGGCCCCATAGGGAGCTCCACCGAAGGCCCCAGTAGCGGCGCTTACATGCGTCTCCGCCAACCATCCCGGCCCTCCCCCCGCAGCAGCATCATGTTTCGGGGACCCATAGGGAGCTCCACTGGAGGCCCCAGTGGCGGCCCGCACATGCGTTTCCGCCACCCATGTCGGCACGCCCCACGCGTGTTTCATGTCCCCATAGGGAGCTTCGCCGAATGCCCCAGTGGTACCATCTCGGCACACCCCTCACACGTTCCGTAGTCCTATGGGGAGTTCCATTGAAGATGAAACCCGCAGCTGCGGTACTGACAACTGCATAAGGTTGGGTTCTTCGCCAGGCTCATTTTTTTTTGGGGGGGGGGGGTGAAAAGGGATAGTTATCGGCGGTAGCATATTATTTGCGTTTTGGGCAGGGCAGCCCGTTGTATGCCCGCGCGCTCCAGCGCTACGCACCCCCGTCAGAACTGCGCAACCGACAAGGTCAGGTTATCCGGGGGGGGGAGGGGGGGCGCTGGGAGACAGAGCTGCCCCGATTGCTGCGGAGTGCTCCGACGGTCGTATTTTCCTGTCTTCTTTCTGCTCCAGCCCCCCCCCCAAACATGCTCCAGCCTGTTTGCTTCCTTCTCTTCGCTCCCCCAGGGGCGGCCGCCCCTGGGGGGGAGGGGCCAGCGCCCGGCCCAGGGCGCCGCCGATGCCTGCAGCCCGAGCCCGGGGAGGCAGATCGAGGTCCCGAGGCCAGCGGCGCGAGAGCTCGGCTTCGAGGAGGATCGAGCTCCCCCACCCCGACACACGATGCCTTTGAGTTCTGTTCCATCGGAGGCCTAGAGGTTGACACCAACACCAAGGTGTGCTTCCACCGAGGGAAGATGATCCCGACCTCGGTGATGGTTGACGGTGGTCATTTCCGGGCGTCGAGGTGGCCGAAAGACCACCACCAGCACCAACATCTAGGATCAGTTTTCTCCGTTTGAAGCAGACTCTGACAACAAAGAAGCAAGTCAGGTACAAACGGCGAAGCAATCGGCGCGCCAAAAGCGCGCCAACCGCGAGCCGCGACACCAAATGCGCGCTCAGCATGCAAACGCGAACGGCCAGCGCTGCACATGGTCTGCTGCTTTGGGCTGCAGGTCGCTGGACATTGCTGCGTGAAAGATGCTGCTGCCCTAGGCGGCAAAGCCACACAACTACTCCGATGTTGGTGTTGGTGCCCATTTCCACGCCTCCTATTCCGCGCGGGGCCCCCGGAAGCCCCGGCCCTTTCCTCGGGGCCGGTCTCCCATCGCGGACCGCCCTTGTGGACGGCAGGGCCGACTCTGAACGCCGTTCTGCTGGACTTCGGCTGTGTTTTGTCTGTTTCGTTTTTCCCAACCATCCTGTGGTGTTGGGTCCTCGTTTTGAAGAGACGGTGCCCCGCGTCTCTCCTTCCTTCCTTCCTCCTCCCCCTCCTCCCTCCTCGCTCCTCCCTCCTCCCTCCTCCCCCTCCTTGCCATTGCTCTCGGCACACCTCTCACGTTTCGTAGCCCCATAGGGAGCTCCACGAGGTCCCAGCGGCACAGCCCGCATGCGTCCGCCACACCCAGCACGGCATTTCGTGGCCCCATAGGGAGCTCCACCGAAGGCCCGAGCGGGGGGGGCGCATGCATCCGCCACACCCAGCACAGCGCTTCGTGGCCCCACAGGGAGCTCCACCGAAGGTCCCAGCGGGGGGGGCGCATGCGTCCGCCACACCCAGCACGGCGCTTCGTGGCCCCAGAGGGAGCTCCACCGAATGCCCCAGTGGAGGGGGGGGGCGCATGCGTCCGCCACAACCAGCACAGCGTTTCGTGGTACCACAGGGAGCTCCACCGAAGGCCCCAGTGTGGGGGGGCGCATGCGTCCGCCACAACCAGCACAGCGTTTCGTGGCACCACAGGGAGCTCCACCGAAGGTCCCAATGTGGGGGGGCGCATGCGTCCGCCACACCCAGCACGGCGCTTCGTGGCCCCATAGGGAGCTCCACCGAAGGCCCCAGTGGAGGGGGGCGCATGCGTCCGCCACACCCAGCACAGCGTTTCGTAGTCTCACAGGGAGCTCCACCGAAGGCCCCAGCGGGGAGGGGGGCGCATGCGTCCGCCACACCCAGCACAGCGTTTGAGGCCCCACAGGGAGCTCCACCGAAGGCCCCAGTGGGGGGGGGGCGCTCCGCCACTCCCAGCACGGCGCTTCGTGGCCCCATAGGGAGCTCCACCGAATGCCCCAGTGGAGGGGGGC